TTTTTAAACAAAATTTGTAGAGAATTTTGTATTCTACAATATTGATAATAAATACAAATAGCAAAAAACCCATAGGAAATGAGATATTTCCAAAAAAAGCGCAAAAAACCGATTTTTGTGACCTTTGATCTTGAAATTTAATAGTTGCTTACACCCTACCATATGTAGGTTTTGAGACAACTTTTAGGGTGTCAATATACAAGTATTTACAGACTTACAGCTTGGTATCTCGAATTTCGAGGTGAACTTACTATAATGACTGTACTAATTGTAATACACCGAACAACAATACTCGATATGGGGGTAAATAAGAGTTTTAACTAACCTGAGTTTCATTTCTTCTGATAACTGATACTTGAATTTATATATCGATTTGAGATTGAAGAATGATACTTTGAAAATGTTTGTCACATGTTCATGGAAAGACAAATGATTACGCCAAGATTTTCAGCACTATCTACCCAGTCAATGTCTGCGTTATCGAGAGTGAGCCTAAAGCTACACTGAGTTTCTACTATTCGTCTTTGATACCCTATGCCTAAGGCTAAAGTTTTATTTGGATTGATTTTCAGTCCCTGATTTTCCGAGTATAGGAATGTTTTGTGCAAATTTGTATTTATATTGGCCACGCAACTTTCTGTATCGGTGTTATGAGAATACAAATATAACTGTATATCATCTGCGTATAGATGTACTTGACAATGTGACAAGAAGGTGGGGTAATCAAAAATAAACACTGAAAACATCAAAGATCCTAAAATACTTTCCTGCGGTACACCTGAGATTGTTTTTTTAGGGATGACCATTAGTAATCATCCAGTTTGACCCTCTGTGATCGGCCTGTGAGATAGCTGGTCATCCATTTAAGAGAAATGTCATCGAATCCTATGAACTTGAGCTTGCTGATGAGTAAATCGAAATTAACTAAATCGAAAGCTTCACTTTGATCAAGTAGTACTAAAATGGGGACTTTTGATTGATCTCTGAATCTCGCAAGATCGTCGATTACTTTCAAGAGGGCAGTCTGTGTTCCGTGTTTTTTACGAAACCCAGACTGCTCGTACGGTAGTGTTCGATTTTCTTCGAGAAAAGCTCTTATTTTACGGGAAACATTTTTCTCGAATATTTCAGAGAGTGAGGGCAGAATATCAGCATTCTGCCCTCACTGTAGGTCACTCACGTAGGTCACTGAACGTGGTAGGTGCATTCTTTTTCGGAATTGGAATTATATTAGCAACCTTCCAAACATCTGGAAAAATGCCGTGTCTGAAGGATTCGTTGAAAATATGTTTAACTTCATCGATACAGTGTGGTATCACTAAAGCAATCATCTTCAAATTTACATTATCAATACCTGAAGCATTAGATTATATCACAATATATCGGTGAGGGAAAAGTTCATAGGAGTGTTCAATTTATTATTATTGTGGAATGAAAGAGTGTCATTATTTACTATTGAATGTCCAGCCACGTTTAAAAAATAGTCATTGATTTCTTCAGGTCTATGTAGTTCAGTTGGCAGGCTGTTGGTTAACGATGAATATTTTATATACAAATCTTCTTCAGCACTTCTAACCGTTGAAAAAACTAAGGCATTAATTTGATTGTCTTCAGAGGTTACGGGTCAAGGCAATTTTTTTTATCGTTTCAAATTTGATTCAAATGCATTGAAATTGTTCTTCCTACACGTCTTGCAGATTTTATCACAATACATGAATAATGTGTGTTTTTTGAATACGTCTCAATGGATCTTTATCAAGTATCGGCCAGTTCTAACACATCACATCATATCAGATCAGACCTTCTTTGGAGTGTTGTTCTCATGTATGGACCTCTGGAGCTGCTGCATTCCATTCAGAGAAAAGCCATCCGCCTGATTGGAGACGCGAACATCACTTGCAACCTTGATAGTCTGGAACATCGAAGAAAGGTTGAAGATTCGTTTCTCTTCTATGAATACTTTCACGGGAAGTGTTCAGGTGTCTTGTCACATTCGATTCCATTAAGAGCGGTACATATCAGAAATATGCGATGGAGTGTGGGTGCTCATTGTTTTGAGCTTCAACTCAGTACATCTCGAACTTCACTGTTCAAGAACTCTTTCATATGGAGAATTGCGTTCACGTGGAATAAACTTCCTCTGAACGTTTTTCCAAATGGATTCAATCTCCAGCGATTCAAATCCAATGTGAATCACTACTTTCGCACAGGCACCGATCTCAGAACGACTTCAGTATTTTTCTGTAATGCTTGTATTTTGTCCTTAAAAAAATCTCATTATAAAGTGTTACTTGAATGTTTCATGGGAGAGAAAGGTTTTGGTTTTTTACTTCTCCATCTTGATACAGAAAATGTGGTAGAAGAAAATCATCAATTTCAAAAATTAACTAACTCTATATAAAGTAGTGTAGATAATGGAATTGAATCAGATGTCATTCACAGGATTCTTCATCTTCTTTCTCCGCTTAATTTTGGTCCTATCCTCCAGATTGCGCTATTATGACCAGTACTCTTTTTATTATAGTAAAAACTACAATAAAAACTTTGTCCGAGGAGTGCAGAAGTCTTGCTTTACGCAATACTGCACCCCATTTTTTTCTTCCAAATTATTAATATTTGATAGGCACGTCTTTCTGCGGCGAACATATACATACATTTAAAATCAGCGTCTTCTTCATTAAAATATTATCAGTTACAATCCTACTCCCACGTGAACATCCGGTCCACCTCGGCCTCCAACGTGAATGGGAGCACACTATTTATTTATAATCACTTAAACGATGTTTATAAACACTATTTTCAATTACTGCTTGCACGTTATATAACGGCGGACATTCACAACATGAACTGAGTTCCATCCACAACAATGGCGTCCGCGTACCTTCTTTGTGGACGGTCGCTATCGGCACGTCCGCCCACCACCATGTCAGAAACGAAACTTACACAGGATTCCTACACAATATAATTGATGGAAGAAGCAAATTTTACTTACATGGAACACTGCCATCCTCCCTGGTAGAAATCTTGATGTTTCGCCGTAAGACACTTATTAAGTACCAAATACGGATAGCGTTATGAGAAAAAACACTCAATTCGTTCATCAAATTACGACTTTTTGTCACGAGATGTAAATTGAATATTTTTCCGTTATCTTAGGATCGTACTGTTATTTCTATCGGAAGTAACTACATCTCAAACCTCCCCTTCATTTGGTTGTGTAATGTGCAATTTTGAAGTAACATTGAACTATTTCTGACATTCACCTTTTCAACTTCTATTTATTTTATAGAGGGGCTACTAGTTCCTTGGGTCATCTTCTCCCTCATCTGGAGCATCGGTTGTACTTGTGATAATGACGGAAGAATAATTTTTGATAGATGGTTGAGAGAAAAAATGATGGCAGGAGACCATAGACCTATACCTCCTGTTGATGGCTTGGTTTACGACTACAGGTAAGTCAAGAAAAATATGACAACTATCTAATTCACATATGCCAAGGTGAACGGGGTATTGTAGGAGAAGAGAGACATTTTATTCAGCATCAAGATGTAATAGAAGTTCTAATATTACTTTCTGTAAGAATACGATATCGATGGGTTGGTTACCGCCATTGACTACTCACCACATTGGTCATTGGTTCAAATCCGACTCCTCCCAACCAGCTGAGTGGTTATATTCTGACATGTATGGAAAATGCTTCCGATGTTTTTGAATTTCCACAAATATTTCCTGAACTACTGAGTTTGTGAATACATTTAAGAATAAACTGAAATGTCACTTATTTTTCCACATCTACAGCCATTTGTGAGACTGAGAATTGATTTCTGTTTTACATTATTCGATCATTTTCTATAAACTGAAAACTAAAAGTACCTAATCATCCATCACATGGAACTTGTTGAGGTCAGCAAATAGGCAATCCAGTTTTTTCGTGTGACATTTTGGGTCGTATAATATTTTTCTAATTTACTGTAATATTTATGATGAACCATTTCAAAATTTTCCAAAAATATCTATAGAGGGAAGTATTTTCATATTAACACATCATTCTTGTGCCAGCATTCGACCAGAGTAGGCGTGTTTGTATAGTGAAAGTTAGGTGAAGTGAAGTGACTACCCGAACCCGAAGGATTACCTCGTATTGTCTACCGGAGTGAGAAGTCCCTGATTCTCCGAATCAAACTCTTTCGATAGAGGCAACAGAGACTAATCCAACGGATTAGTTCTCATAGGCAGCAATCCCAAGTCAGGCATTACTACCAATCCAAGAAAAACGAAGACTATCTCAGAACCAATAATACACAAGGTCGTACAATTCTTTTTTCATAATGGCGAGACAAACTCGTAATCAAAAAAAGACTCAGTTTCCTTTTACAAACCCATCTCCTACCTTTTCAAGCTCCTCACCTGAGCACGAACCAACTACGACTCCCCAACAATCCTCGACCTATGTAGCGATTCCAAACCTCCAAAACATTTTCAATATTAGAAAAATCCCCGATGACCTGGCAAGTCAAAGGGCCCTTTTTAATCTGCTAAACTCCACGGAATTTCTCCGTGGACAGATCACAGAGCTGAAGGAACTTCAAGGACGATATGCAACAAGAATGATGAGCAGTAATAACTCCGATGCCATCAACACGCTAACAACACCTTGACTTCCCGTGTAGGACCCAGAAGGATACCTAGGAAGAAGCTGCCGTTTCTCCCAGCAAAACTCCTGGGAGTAATGGAAGATCCGCCGGAGTAGATTCAGGATATTCTAGAGAAATATCCACCGGGGAATTAGACAGCGGACAGCTACGTCCTGGAAGAGGCTAAAATCTGAAGCCATTTACCCCCTTAGGCCTTACAACCTGTACCCAAATTCTAATGATCACTGCAATTGACCCGGACCACTCCAACGGTACAACGGAAAACAAGAGGAGCACATGACAACATAATACAACACAATATTAGACATCATTACACATTACACACACACAATCCACTAACCCTGAAGAGGCATATGCCTATAGCAGGACCCCACACAAAATACACTATCACAAATATTTTGTAATTTTATCCAAAAGATTGAATAAACATTTTTGACTTGCCTTTGTCTTATTAACAATTCGTCTTTGCACTTATTTGTATTGGACCGTTTTTGTCTGGTCCAAATTAGCGAAGGTTTTACTAGTGAGAAAGTTATCGACGTGCTTGAAAAGATGTTAGTCGGTTGGTGAGAGGTATGGGGAGTATGTAGAGTGAGGCAGAACTTTGACGCTCAATTCGTTCAATTTTCGGACGAGCGTTGTCCTGGAACAGGATCGGACCTCTTCTGTTGAACAGAGTCGGCTGCTGCTGACGTAATTTTCAGTATATTTCGTCAATTTTCTCACAATAGACTCTGCTGTGATGGTTTGGCCCGGTCGCAGAAAGTCATAGTGAATCACACCAGTTGGTGACCACTATACAGTAACTATGTTTTTCGTGGTGGGTTTCCGCCTTTGAGGTAGGTACCTGCGTGTCCAACCACTGTCATGGACGTCTCGTGTTGTATAGGATCCACTTTTCATCACACGTGATTATCCGATCCACAAGAGGATCGTTTTGGTTGTACAGTCCTCAAAACGTGACAATTACTATTACAATGACAATTACCATGACAATTACAATTACAACTAGTCGTCGATCTGACGATCGACGACTAGTTCTTCCGCCATCCCACACACCATATGTGATGAGCCAGTCTCCACCAGGGTCCTCAAATTCACATCCTGGATTGGTCGACCATTCCGACCTACGTCGAACAGTGCGTTGATTAACACTATCATTACCAAATACCTGGTTGATTTTTCGCACTGTTTCGGCAGCTCTTTGGTTCAATTTGAATTCGTGTAGAAAATTGATGGAAAATCGCTTAACATCATATAGCGAAATATTCAAGTTTGAAAAAAAAAATGTACAGGATCAATGTTTAGAGTATGAAATTCTCTATCAATCATTATGTACACCGACACAGTATCTCTGTATCTGTAGAGTAGGGAGGGTGTGCGTAAGCCCACATCACTCAGGCCACACGTGACCCATTGTACATCCTCCCGAGGAGTTGTCCTCCTGGGTCATCGTCCATCCTGTCCTTTCCACGAAGGTGAACAGGTCACTGGGAGACATCTCTTTTATATCGGCAGGTGTAGGCCAAGACTCGCCGAACACACACTCTTTTATTGACGCTAACTACGGGCACTCGCATTGGACATGCCTGACAGTCTCATTTTCCTGTTCACACATCCTGCATAGAGGTGTGTCCACTAGCCCCATATTATGGAGGTGTTGCCTTAGTTGACAGTGGCCAGTCAGAAATCCTACTGTTAAGCATAGATTTTTCCTGGTCATCGCCAGATATTTCTTTGGCGCCAGCTTTCCAGGGTCGCCCAAAGTGATCCTGGCAAGATTGCATCCTTTGATTCCATCCCATCTCTTTAAGGATTGAACATGGGTGTAACATTTGGCTAGTTCCGTAATTGTCGAAGTCATCAGGCCGTAGATGCCACTGGGTCCTGAAATTCTTAGTCCAGCCGCTTTCTTGGCTAATATTCATTCTACTGTGTCGTGCCCACGACACAGTAGAATGAATATTAACTGAGATATGAAGCTACAAAAACACATGACATCAAAACGGACAGAACTCCTCAAATAATATAATATATTTTCCAAACAGATTTTGATTTTGTATTTTCCTATTACAAACAGCCAATGTTTCTTGTTGAATCAATGTTGAGTTAACGTTCTTAGTCGAGTTCCTAAATCGATGGGCCCAGCGATTGATCCGATGGATTCACCTTTCGGTCCAATACAAACATTAGTGCGTTTCTATTGGTTGCAGCAATCCATCATAAATTTTCTAATAAATCTAATAATTTTTCGTAAACTAGAATAAAACTGGAGCAATACATTGAGTATTATCAATCCCACTGATGGACTATTCATTAAATGATCCTACGGATAAAAATGAAATACTGCGTTATTGAGATAGATTGTTCAAACTCACTAGTTTCCTATATGGGAAAAGCGAGGGTCTCATATATTTTCATTTGCAAATAAGTGAAGATATACGAGTGAGAGTTGTTCGATAATTGAAACGAATACTCTGTGTCAATCTTTAGGACTCAAACTACCTTACTTGCAAAATAAAATAATAATGAATTTGTGAAATGATCAGTTTGTTGAGTCATATCGGTATAAAAAATTTGTTGATTATGCTGTGTGAAAAGTCTTTGATCATCAGTGAAAGATAGACGGTCACATCTGCCATATTCAAAGCAAAAAGTGAAGAGAATCGTTACCACCATTGCCTGGAAATCGAAAGAAAATAATCAATTTTCTAACTAGACCAATACTTATCCGTTAAAATGGCAATGAATAAGTAATCACTTTTACCTGGGTAATAGGGAACTGGTCTCGAATCTAAATACAGCTTTCTGCTAGGGATATCCTTCAAACTGTTTTCTCTGCATTCGCTATCAGGAAATTCATTTCACGCCAATTTATGAATTCCTCTGCTAAGTTGTACAATGTTTTTTCTATGTCTTCAGGTTCAGGACTGTCTGAATCAGTTGCCAACTGCAGAATCTGAACTGATATGGTCAGGCAAATCGTTTTTAAATAAAGATAAAATAAGCAGATTCAGAGTAGACCCCTGAGGAACTCCCATGTCCATCTCATAATATTCAGATTTATGCTCTACCATTTGAACTGATATCTTTTTGAAGCGCATGTATGACATCAACCATGTCAAGAAATTTTCAGGAAAACCAAGAGAAGACAATACAATATCAAATGCTTTCGATAAGTCGAAGAAAAATTCTCCCACATATTCCATTTCATCTAGCCAGATGAGAGTGCGATTTCTTCGTTGTTTTTTGGTGGATATTTCCGTAGAAGTGGTACTGCTCTACCTTATTCTTGAAATATATTATAAAACTGAAATCTACAGTATCTTGATGTTTTTATATGAATGTGGACCAACCTTAACCCACTATTATTCCTGTTTTGTTTATGTTCATTGTTTATGTATTTCACTTTATTCATATGTTAATAACTATCCTTCACATTTTCCAATTGTACCTGGTTTCTATCTGATTTTAATACGTATAAGATCAAATAAAAGACTGTTCGAAAAAGTACCTTTGTCGCTGTTCATAGAACAGCGGTGGATGTAGGTTGGTCCACATATATATAAAAACAGTAACATATTGTAGATTTTAGTATTCGTGATCTCCTGATGATTAATTGATTGAAGTAGCCGTTGTTACTACGTGGTAGAAAATCAACATTAAAAAAGAGAAATGAAACTTTCTGTTTTTTACCACTTTTATTCGTAACTATCATTACTACAGTTTCGTCCCATATGGCCATTTTCAAACTAATACAATAAAACCAGTTTTATTGTATTATGAAATAGCTGATTAACGGAAAAGCAGAGCAGATTGTATTAGTTTGAAAATATCGATAATTGAATAGAACTGGCGATACTTGATAAAAATCCATATTATAACCAATTAATACAGTTTATTGTATGATTTTCACAATAAAGGGTTCTACAAAAACCGCGACACGTGTTTCGCTATACAATAGCTTCCTTAAGCGTAAAATGATCAGAAAAATTATAACTTCAAACAAGTACGGTCCATACTATTCTGTAACTTTTCATAATCTCGAACGTAAACATGCGATATTTTAACCTACCTATGAAATGTCACACCAAAAACACTTTATTTTTGTTTGTGCTATTATTAAAACACACTAAAACAAAACACGAAACCATTTTGTTTTTAGAATAAGTGAACTGTACGAATACTGAATGGCAACTTATATGCTCCGATCTATAATACCATAAGTTTACCATACTTCAGTCGTCGCTCGGCGATTTGAGTGCTTGATCCCTTGCTTTCTACTTCCATGGTACAGTTTTACATACGCAATGGACCATTGGTTTATATGAATGAGCGCCTTAATATGCATTTGCTCCCTTATTTAATTTTTTTTCCTGAACGATAAACTATTTTGTGACTATTTATGTGATGAAATTATTTTTTTCTGAAACTTTTTCAATCTCACTCGTAGCATTTTCTCAATGGTGATTCGGCAAAATGGTGATATTTGGCCGACATGAGATGCCTTGATTTTGATTTATCGCATCTATTTTATTTCCCAGATTGCACGATGGTGGATTCACCGATCTGACAGACGACAATGAACCCCACCCTCCCACGTGGAGAAGTTGGATGGAAAATATCGAGGAATACAAAATAACAGTCGATATGAAATATTCAGGTGAGATGTTTATGACAAGTTCGAGGGTACAGAAGAGAAAATGTGATTGGGAAACTTTGTCGCTCTTGTTTATTAAATTTTACGATACATCTTGATTCAGACAACTTTAGTTTGATTATGGGGGTTGGGTAGAGATGTTTTCACGACAAATCTTCAAGTGAAGCATTTTTGAAATAGTTTCAAGGAGTTTGAAGTGATGAAAATCGTTGAATTTCAAATTGAATATCCCCCAGGAAATATTTATTGGAATTATAATATTGATCAAGGGAATAAATATTATATTTTCCTCATTGAAACAATAAAAAAAATATCTTCCACAATTGGTATTCCATTCAA